ATTCCTCGTGGCCACACAGATAAGATTTTCTCCATGACAATCTGTGCCCAACATGGTCTTTTGGTTCCTGCAATGGTGCCCCCATCACTGCAACTGAGTCTATTCATCCTTTTCTTTTTCCTTCCAACACTTTTCCAGAGAGTTAGATCTTTACATAATACGTCCAAAGTAGGTTACTCTGAACATGATCAATTTGTGCTTCAAGTGACACCTATGGAATGAGCTTAACTTATTAACACCATGAGCACAGGTGATACCGCAGGTTGCCTAGTCATGATCCAAAGGCCAATGTATTCATTCATGAGCTTCCTAGCTGTCCGTCTCACCTGAAAATGGCCATTCTGGCAGGCAAAGTGGAGTGGTCCTGCTTGGTTCACATCTTTGGCTTCAATGTTTGCTCCATGTTTCAGTAAGAGGGCCACCAAGTCCACATGCCCATGTAGAGCGGCAACATGCAGTGGCGTCAGACCAGTTTGGTTGGTAACGTTCACTCCAAGCCCATTCGAAGGCAGCCTGAAGAACTTCTGTTGGGAGAAATAAAGCGCACGGGACATTAGCCCAGCATTTCTGCACCATCTACACCCACCCCCCCCCAAAACCAGCTAAGACCAAGATATAACAATCACCATGTTTTTTACTTCAAACTTTCTATGTGTTACCATGAGTGGGGCCGATGCAAAATGCCCCAACGCGAAATGAAATGACCTGCAACTAAGGAGGAATTTTCAGACACTGGGAACAATCAAACTCAAAGTAAGAGGCTCTTGATCTGCAAATTTACAAATTAAAAAATAGCAATTCTAGATGCCATGGGGGGGGGGGGTGACAAGAAAGACACCCAAATGCTGGGAAAGGAAAATTTTGGCGTACTTGCCTAAATACAGAACTTCCCTGAAGCAGAGGATGAGACAATGCCCGAACAAGCTGTAGAAGAGACAGCTGAGTCAAGGCTATAAATCCATCTTCTTTATACAACCTTCTACGCCTCTCCTTAGCAGTGAAATGAATTTCCCTCAATCAGCCACCCAATCCTTATAGCAGCCCACTTAGTAGAAAAGCAGCTTTTTCCCAGCAGCTCATGGGAACATCATTAGAAGACAAGTGCGATTAATCACAGACTTCTTACAAGCCAAGTCAGAACATACGTGATGGGAGCATCCACTAACCTTCTGCACAGGGCTGCATCTAGAACACTGACACAAAGGATGGCATAATTCCGGGGTCCCCATATTGCTGGCCTCCTTGGGATCTTCCAGGTCATCATCTCCCCATTCCAAGAGATAACGCACCTAGAATAAATGCCGAGGGTTGGAAAACACGTGGGCTCTTCACATCTCATTCCCTGCAGTGATCCATCTTTATGAACTCTGCGCCCTTTTTGTAAGGATTTCCTGCCCTAATTAAAAACTCACTTAACAGAAGAAGCTTAAAATTAAAACAATTGGTCTTTGGAAATCTAGTTTTCTGCCCGAAAGGATTTTTGCCCACCTGGGCATAAATCAGAAGCATTTTGAAACCTTATCATTCTGCAAGTTTGCCATTTTTCAGCCCAGGGAGGTAATGTCATTTCAGCAAGAACAGAACAGCTGTCTGTTATTTCCCCAGAAACCGGCAAATTAAATGAGACATGCCAGGAGACGTAATGTGGCCCCTCGTGACATTTGATTTCCTACCAGGCAAGCGATAGAACGGTTAAATGTTCTCACTGCCAAGATGAATTTGCTAAGGAGATGTGATCTAAATTAGAAAAGACAGCCTCCTCTTAATCTAGACTTTGATGTTCTCCTCTGCTCAATCCTTTTAGCCGGGATTGCTGGAGATTAAAAACCAGAAGGCTTTGCACCAGAATAGGCCAATGTCTTTCCTCGGCCCTTACTGCTATTTTATTGATCTTTTCAATATGCTTTGTGTTTGAAGCCAGAATGCTAATTTTTATCTAGAAGAAATAGACTTAGTTTGCAAAAAAAAAAAAAAAAAAAACTGGCACTTTGCTCCCCAAGTCAGAAATGAGGGAAGCATGGTTACGAGCATTGTACAAAGGAAAAGGTTTTTTTTAAAAAAAACAAACACTGCTTTTTAAAAACCCATCATGTGCTCTGTCTCGATCTGGAGGAAAAGTTCTGTTGGACCAGATGTTTTTAGTGCCCTTCACCTCTGGCCATGGAATCCACCTTCTTGGCACTTTAAGTGACATCACTTATTGGTGGTCCGTGAGAAAATTTTGGTGGTCTGTAGAAAAAATATTTGCATTTTTTTATATTGCACTAAATACTATTTATCTTTTTAGAAAATTCATATTAGTAGTCCGTGGGATTTAAAATTATGAATTTAGTGCTCCCTGAGGTCTGAAAGATTGTTGACCCCTGGTCTACATCACATCAGTTTGCTATAAACCTACATCATACATGGTTACGGATAAACCATAATGGTTGTGTTTATATAATTGTGAAGCCAAGCTAAGCCAATCATGTATAGACCAAAGCAAAGCAATGTGTGAGAACTATCACTCTAAATCAGGGGGTCTCCAATCTTGGCAACTCTAAGAATTGAAGACTTCAGCTCCCAGAATTCCCCAGCCAACACTGCCACAGTTGGAAACCCCTACTCTAAATATTCACCTTTTAGCTCCTATCTCACAGATGATGCAGGAAACTCTTCATTTCTCACAACATAACCTAGAAGTAGAGGCAAACCTTTTCTGTGTAATTGCTTTATATGACATCTTGGCTGGCTTTAAAATTAACAAAAGAGTTAACCTTCAAGACCCAATAAGTACATTCTCCTACTATATTAAACTGGGGCTATATAGGATTAGATTTT